CTTCCATTAATTCTATCGGTAAAATATTCTTTGGTATCTTTATATCATTGCAATTGAAGAATATTGGCAGTTGGAGAGCAACAGCGTAGCCGCTCGGTGCAGCGACTCCCGACCTTGTATATTTTGTTACGTTTTAGGAGTTTAAGTTGATATTAATATCACGAGTTGTATATTGCAGTGACATTTCACACAAAAAATTAAATATATGGTTTGATCTGTACAATGCTGGAACTACGAATTCAAAGGCGCGTTTGATTAACACCTCCTTGGACTTAACTTTTAACTTTATCCTTGGTGTTTAAGAAAAGTTCTTAGCAATATGGTTGTTTATTAATGTAAAATATATCATCTATTATCAATAAAATTCAGTAAAACCCACTCATTAGCATCGTCTATCCGTGCTCAGTGTTTAACAATTTGAATATACCCGAGAAACGTAGGGTTTTTGTAAACAGGGCAAGCTCACAGGGCACGAGCTCTATTATTGTTAGTGTTTACGACTCACCGAATGTGTTCAATTGTTAAATTCTGCACAAACCAATGAACACGGACTGAAATTCTATGAATGGGTTTTGCTGTCAAATATTTCTATTTGAATTCAAGAGTTTTTAAGTATTTTTCATTAATACACAATATTGCCACCTTTCATAAGTATTAATTAAAAATAAAATTAGAATCTGTGGACGTGCAAGGATCTATCGATCAAACGCGTCCAGAAATTCGAAGCTTCAATAACTTCGAGATAAAATAACTTATAATGAAACTATATAGCAACAAGTAAGTCATGAATTAATTATACAGAAAATATTAACTTTAAATCTGTGTCCAAAGACCTTTTAGTTTCGGTGATTTACATTAATTACAAACATATCGATTTTTAACAGGACGAATACTACCTGTAATCATGTTCCATAATGATCAAAAGATTAATCTCTTTTTATATGTCAATATAACTCTTAATCGTTCCTTGTAGTGATATGTAAAGTTCGAAACTTTTGCTCAGTCGGACTAATGTGCCGTCGGACTTGTGAACCTTCGGACTACTGGGCGGTCGGATTAGTGCATGGGCGTCGGAAGCATATTGAAGTCGGGGGGGGGGGGGTAATCGAAATTGAAGAGTTTGACACTACCTATTACATGAAAAACACAAGACAAAGATCGGGAAAAAAGCTTGCGTTGGTCATATAGTTCCGTTAATTTGTCATCTTCGTTTTATGTATATAGTTATTGTCACAAAGTACATCAAAATTCGAAAATATTGAGCCGATGTGTGAATGAAATGATCATGTTAGTTGCTAAAATTAAATGTTGCATTAAAGGCGACAGGAATGTTTTTCCTTTCATATAGATTTTTTTTTATATTGACGTAAAAAAAGTCAACAAACAAAAGTATAATTAGCACCAATTGAAACAGGTAGTTAAAATACCTGGCTTCAGAGCAAAATAACTTGTTAATAAGAATTCCACAGGATTCTCTTAATATCAATGGCAGACTATGGTGTGTAGAATCAAAATAGTTTTACGAAAAAGAACCTTTAATTTGGTCAAGGATGGGTAAACAATCTCAAGATATTTATACCCCCGCTCCGAAGGAGAAGAGGGTATACTGTTTTACCCTTGTGTGTCTGTCTGTCTGTCTGTCTGTCCATGTGTCTGTCCGTAACAATTTTTGTTCGCAGTTTTCTCAGCAACTACTCATCGAAGATGCTTAAAATTTTAGCACACTCTTTGCTGAAGCATGCCATATGTTGGGATTCATTTTTGTTCCAAATCCGATGTCAACTTCATATTTATCCGTGCGTCTGTTCGTAACACATGTAACAAATTTATGTCACGGTTTTCTCAGAAACAGCTCACTGCAGATGCTTGAAATTTTAGTACATTCTTTGCTGAGGCATGTCATATTGGGTTCTTTTTCCTTCAAATGGGATTTTGACTTCCTCTTAACTTGCGTACATCAACATTATAGTGTATATTCACATCAGAGCGGGGGTATTACTAGTGAACATTTGCTCACATACTTCTTGTTAAAAGCTGAAATGATGGTGATTTTGAATTTATAAATCTTTCGAAAAACTCTTTCAGTTTATTGAAAATGAAAACAAGCAAATTCAAAGAATTGTGGTCCCCCGCTTTCGGTATCTTTGTGGGTGAGATGTAATCTTTTTTAAAGATATTGTGTCAAATATGAACGCCCTATCATATGTCGTTTCCAAATTATCACCAAAGTTAATTTTAAAAAAAAACAAGATATGTTTGTGAAACACTATGCGCCCGCCGGAAACAAAGGTAAAAAAAACTATTTTTAGCAGATGTCAAAGTCAAGGTCACAAGGTCATTAACCTTGGTGTCATTCATGGTGGAGTATGCACACCAAATATGAAGTCTCTATCTCTCAAGCTTCAAAAGTTATGGCAAAAGTTCGTAAAATATATTTGTAGCATATGGGTCATAGTCAAGGTCACAAGGTAATGACCTTGGTGTCGTTTGAAAGAACTTCATTAGTGGAGTATGCATACCAAATATGAAGTCTCTATCTCTCATGGTTCAAAAGTTAGGGTGAAAGTTCGAAAAAGCTATTTTTAGCAAATATGTCACAGTCAAGGTCACAAGGTCATTGACCATGGTGTCCTTTGAAAGAACTTTATTAGTGAATCTGGAGTATGTACCAAATATGAAGTTTATATCTCTTATGGTTCAAAAGTTATGGTGAAGGTTAAAGTTGACAACAGACAGACAGACAGGACAAAAACAATATACGCCTCGGATCTATCGATCCGGGCGAGTAAAAATAAGGTCAATCGTGAAGGCCAAAGTCAAGGAGTCAGAAATCATAGTATGCTCGGAAATATCTTGTCATAGGTAATGTACATGTCAAATATGAAAACCCTATCTCTTCTCAATCAAAACTTAAAAGGAATAAGATGCGTTTTTGAAACACTGATGACCCCTTATGGCAACAAGGCGAAGATTAAACTTTTCTTAAATGCAAATTAAATATATTGGTACCCAAATTTTAAAAAGTAGGTCAAACTCCAAGATCAAGGTAAAAGGATCAATTTAAGTTCTTGGTAACCAATGAAAGGTCTTCTCACAAGCATTTCTTATGTGAAGTACGAAAGTCTCAGCCCTTACCATTCAAAAGTTATGGCCAAGGTTCAAGTTTTTAAAAAGTAAGTCAAACTCCAAGGTCAAAGTCAAAGGGTCAAAGTTGATTATATTCAGTGAAAGGTCTTGTCACAAAGAATAAATATGTGAAGTATGCATGCCGTAGGCCTTCAAAAGTTATGATCAAGTTTTTTTTTAAAAGTAGGTCAAACTCGAGGGTCAATGTCAGAAGGTCAAAATCTTGTTATCCAATGAAAGGTCTTGTCAAAAGGAATAAATATGTGAAATATGAAAGCTTCAGCCCCTATCGTTCAAAAGTTGTGGCCAAGGTTCAAGTTTTTAAAAAGGGTTTAAGTGCTTAATATCCAATGAAAGGTCTTGTCACAAGGATTAAATATGTGAAGTATGAAAGCTTTAGCCCTAACCATTCAAATGTTATGGCTAAGGTTAAAGTTTTTAAAAAGTGGGCCAAACTCCAAGGTCAGAAGGTCAAAGTTCTTGTTATCCAATGAAAGGACTTGTCACAAGGATTGAATATGTGAAGTATGAAAGCTCTAGTCCCAACCATTCAAATGTTATCGCCAAGGTTAAAGTTTTTAAAAAATGGGCCAAACTCCAAGGTCAGATAGTCAAAGTGCTTGTTATCCAATGAAAGGACTTTTCACAAGGATTACATATTTGAAGTATGAAAGCCCTAGCCCTTACAGTTTTACAGTTATGGCCAAGGCTAAAGTTTTTACATAAGTACGGAAATCTTCAAGGTCAAAAGGTCAAAGTTCTTGATATCCAATGAAAGGTCTTTCCACAAAAAATACATATGTGAAATATAGAAGTCCTAGTATCTACCTTTCAAAAGTAATGGCTAAAGTAAAAGTTTAAATTTTTTGTGTGAAAGTGGGTCAAACTCCAGGGTCAAGGTCAAATTTGGTGGTCCCTAAAGAAAGGTCTTTTCACAAGGAATACAGACGTGAAATATGGAAGTCATAGCTCTACTAAATCAAAAGTTATGTACAAGGTTAAAGTTGTTTTGATGGACGTACAGACAGACAGACTGACTGACAGACAGACGAATGAGATTTAATGTCCCCTCGCTTTCACGAAAGCGGGGGACAACTATAAATAGTACTCATTTGGATTTGAGGTATTCGATGCATTATAAAGGGATATTGAACGATTTTAAATCATTTATAAGTAGTAAAATATGCATTGCTAGATTCTGATATCAATGAAAATGAAATGAAACAAATTAACATTAGTGATAGCACCTAATCATGAAGAAATAATTGTCCATGATGAATAGAAGAAAATGATAAGTTTGTCTTTAAAAAGTGGTTATTGTTTCGATTCATTTCGTATTTTAATAAAGAGAGGGCGTATGCGTATTTTCACTTGGATATTTGTATGAATGTTTGCAGTTCATATTACTTTTTACAAAAATATACTATACCTTGAATTTTTGGCATGATTCTTTAGCTTTAAGGCTTGATTTAATATAAGAAAATTTTGAGATCCCCCTATATATGATTACTATTATATGGAGGTTGTCCTCTTCATATTTGCCCAATGCTTGGCATAGTTCTCTACAGATAAAATAGAATTTTCTATTCATAAAAGGAATGGTTCTTTTTCCTAGCCATTCTTGCTGAAACAGCCGTTTCTTATATCCACTTTGATACGAACAGTTTACAGATACATTGTAGCTGGATTGTCTAATGTTTACATCATATTCCTTGCTACAATTTTAAAATAGAAATTCATTTCTTTATATTTTATTGCATAAGTATACAGTACGCAATAGACAAAACGTCCACTTATGTTTAAAAGAAAATAATGATGATTTACATTACACGTAGGAGAAAGTATTTTTCTGTCTCTTTCTGCATAGTAATGTCTTAGCTAGAATAACACTTGGACAGTTTTGACAGAAGTCTAAGAATTGGTCCTTTGTGTTTCTTTTTCTTTGATTCTATTTCGTTATTTCTATATTCAATATCAGAATACAATTCATCCTCGACAGCTATTCCTTGTAGGATGGTTATGATAAATGCATCAAGGTCATTCTCTTGCACAAGTGAAGTTTCCGAGTATTTACATTTGTGTTCTCGTGCTAGGAGTTTTCCATCTGTAAAGGAAAAAGAAAAACGGTTATGGCCAATAGACATCAAATACATGTAATATATGACATGAGTACAGGCACGAAACAAATTAATACATGAAATTCCAAGACAACATCTGTATGATTTGAAATTTTCACCCACCTTCCTTTGTTAGAGACTGGTTCCTTACAAGGTCCATCTTATTGGCGACAAGGAATATCGGCGAGGTAATCTTATACTTGTATCGCATTTGACGAACTATTTGAGCAACAACAGACAAGGAGCGTCTGTCTTCCAGTGAGTAGACAAGGAGAAAGGCATCTGAATCCCTATGTGGTATCTCCCTCTGAGGACAAAAATGTATCATTACAATCAATCTATAAATTTTTGTTCAGGTATACGTGTTATGGAAAATGAGAAATAAGATATAGATTGCTTAGTACATTAAATAACTCACCTGCAAACGAATGTCTGTTTCATGAAAAGTTACTTCTATTGGCAGTCCATCTAGCAAAGCAATATTTTTTCGAGGGCTTGTATGACCTTAATTGAATTAAAAAAACATGAAAGTCATCAGTCGATGTAAATGTTTCCTAACTCATGTTAGTCAAAAACTTTCATTTTCAGTTGTCTTTTTCAAAATACGAATTACTCATTTACCTGCGAGTCTTTGTATAAGGGATGTCTTTCCAACCCTAGGTGATCCAATAACATTTATCTTGACGCTGATATTTTGACAAGGGATTTCTTGTTGGACTTTATGCTTCCCTTCATGCTTAATGTAGCCATTCAAATTCTTTCTCAACAAATTGGAAAACTGGAGAGGATTTCTGCCGTTGAATTCTCTACAAGACGCTTCAAATTGCCCAACCCGATCAACAGCATCGCCGTTTCGATGGTAATCCGTTGGTAGTTGACAATCTTTTAAAGATTGGGGCCTGCGACAGTTTAGGTCCTGTCCAGAACTATGATAAGTTTGGAACTTTTTATGAGCCACAGCATTTGTTGATGATTTTTTGTTTACAAGTTTGAGAACTCTTCTTGGCGGAGTTGTATTAAACATTGCGCGAGGCTAATTTTGAAGAGAACAGTGGTGAAAGTGAAGAAAAGAGTTCCTTTTATATGTTTATCATCGAACACATTAGCCACAAGTTTGATTCCATTGGATGATTTTCAATTACATTTTTAAAAGATGATCTTTTCATCGACAGTTGATATTTCCCGGCCCTCCGCCTACCTATAATTAGCTTCCCAATTAAATTACGATAATATTATACTTATACTGTGCAATTACTTTACAATTTACGAAGAATATATCTATTTATTGACGAGAAAAGTTATATATAATTGTTTATTAGCGCTTTGAAATCTATTATTATAATGCAATCTGTGACAATTCTAGATGTGAAGCTCATGTTTTCCGAATTAGTTTTCTCTATCCTATCATCTTTAATCTTTAGAAAATAATTGTAAATCGTTTTGATATATATGAAACAACATATTGGACTACTTATTCAAGGGAACAGGTTTATCTCAAGGGGACTTGTGACTGAAACCGGATTGATTGATTGTGTGTTGTTTAACGTCCCTCTTGAGAATTTTTCATTCATATGGAGACGCCACCATTTGCCGGTGTTTGTCCTATACTCGGTACTCATATCTTTTCGTACCAGCACCTACTGCGACACGTGACCTCGGTTCGTACGGCCTCATCCGAAGGACCGGATTGAAACTGGACACACACAACTATCCAAGTGAATTACATGTCACCGTTTCTGACGAGTTTTACCTGTTTATCAAAACTGCATGCTTTCCTCCACGGTCCAAAACTTAACGACTAAATTGAAGCCACATTGCTTTTGACACATGTGACTAATTAAACAAAGTTTGACCATATCCTCATTATCAAAATTTTGATTTCTCAAGTATTTATAACTCACAGTTTTACTCCCTGTTATTATACCCTACCCTAGCCTGTAAATAAAAGACTTGAAATGGTGATCACTTATAATTGATTGTTAGCAAAGATACAAAACACTGACGGATTTTTAATTTCGAAAGACCAAGGCCAATAACAACCTTTTGTCTCATTTATTACTAGCCAATACATAGTGACTAACTTATGATCATTTTCAAAAAGCAGAGCAAAAAATCAATACAATAGTGATGTATCAAAACTTAAAAAAAAAAAAAAATAGGTCTAAGGGTCATATGTTTCGTGAAAATACATAAATGTGGGTCAGGCAGACAGGCACCAAAAAGTCGACCTCGATTTGTTTCATATCTTTATCAAAAGAAATACCAACAAGAGGCCCAGGGGCCACATCGCTCACCTGAGCAAATCGGCTAGGAAAAAACACAAATCAGATCAGAACTGAAAAGTTTACTGAAGGGGGGGGGGGGTGAATTTAATACTACTTTAGAATGCCTTCATATTAATATAGTATATGACTTTGCTGTTCTTGATAAAAGGATTTTTTAAAAACATTTTCTTCCTACACTATCACTAATCATTACTTTGAAGTACTTGAGAAGACGATTTTCCTATAAATTCGAATGTAAAACTTTGATCAGCCATTGTGGCCCCACCCTACCCCCAGGGATCATGATTTGTACAAACTTGAATTTACACTACGTGTTATTATACCCTACCCTAGCCTGTAAATAAAAGACTTGAAATGGTGATCACTTATAATTGATTGTTAGCAAAGATACAAAACACTGACGTATTTTTAATTTCGAAAGACCAAGGCCAATAACAACCTTTTGTCTCATTTACTACTAGCCAATACATAGTGACTAACTTATGATCATTTTCAAAAAGCAGAGCAAAAAATCAATACAATAGTGATTTATCAAAACTTAAAAAAAAATGCTTCCACATGAGTTTCATCTTTCCTGGCCCAGTGGTTCTTGAGAAGATTTTGAAAGATTTTCCCTATATACTCCTATGTAAAACTTTGATCGGCCATTGTGGCCCCACCTTACCCCCGGGGGTCATGATTTGAACAAACTTGAATCTACACTACCTGACAATGCTTCCACATGAGTTTCATCTTTCCTGGCCCAGTGGTTCTTGAGAAGAAGATTTTTAAAGATTTTCCCTATATACTCCTATGTAAAACTTTGATCGGCCATTGTGGCCCCACCTTATCCCAGGGTGTCATGATTTTAACGAACTTGAATCTACACTACCTGAGCATGCTTCCATATAAATATGATGAATTATGGCTTTGTCATTCTTGAGAAGAAGATTTTTAAAGAATTTTCCTATATATTTATATGTAAAACTTTTGTCGGCCATTTTGGCCCGTACTACCCCCGGGGGTCATGATTTGAACAAACTTGAATCTACGCTACCTGAGCATGCTTCCATATAAATCTGATGAATTATGGCTTTGTCATTCTTGAGAAGAAGATTTTTAAAGAATTTTCCTATATATTTCTATGAAAAACTTTGGTCGGCCATTTTGGCCCCGCCCTACCCCCGGGGGGTCATGATTTGAACAAACTTGAATCTACACTACCTGAGAATCTTTCTCCATAAATTTCATCTCTCCTGGTACAGTGGTTCTTGAGAAGAAGATTTTTAAAATATGCCACCAAATTTTCATTTATTCCCAATTATCTCCCCTTGAATGAGGGCGTGGCCCTTCATTTGAACAAACTTGAATCCACTTCACCCAAGGATACTTTGTGGCAAGTTTGGTTGAAATTGGCCCAGCGCTTCTTGAGAAGACGTCGAAAATGTGAAAAGTTTACAGACAGACGGACGCCGGACAAAATGTGATCAGAAAAGCTCACTTGAGCTTTCAGCTCAGGTGAGCTAAAAATCAAATTACAGATTTAAGCTTTTAGAAAATTCCAAATATGCGTGAATTGTAATCTCTGCTCCAGATTCGCGAAGTAAGGAAATGATCCTTACGTCGCGGGTTCGAAGCACCTGCGGGACGTGGAGAGCGCGACCGGTCTTTCGGATGAGAATCTATTCCAGTCGGTGTTGGCACAAAAAGTTTCCTCGGCTAAACTGCTTAATGGTCGAAAATGCCGATTTAAGGTCTAAATTTGAAAAACTCCATCATCAAGCGGTGGCGTCTCCATTCTCCAGAGGAACGTCAAGAACAAACGACATTAATTTTTGAAAAGTTGGTCAATCAACTTGAAGCTCGAAGTTGAACTAGAAGTTTCCAACATCAAGAGACATATCAAAATAACCTACTTCAGAAAATTAAAGTCTACTTTCTTTTCACATGTGGCCTAAATACGTAATACGATATCTGTCGTTGATTCTTGTGAACATTCTCGACGACCTGGGCAAAATCCTCAATTGACACTCGGAGGCGAAGACAGGTAAGGGGATGCCATCTGTTTTCAGTCGTGAACTTTCACATTATGTACGATACCTTGATCTAATAGCTGTGTCTTGCTTGTCGGTTTCTAAGGCAGGAAGAAGAGGCAGATGGCCATTAAACTGACTTTCGCGTAGACTGGACAGTTGTCGACGATCTTGGCGACTTTCTCGTGAAAGCGTCTGTCTAGTTTTCTTCACTAGGCTGTAGAAATCTTTAATTAGATTTTAAGTTTGCTGACTAAGGGGTATAATTTTCTTTCTTTAAACATCGCGATTTCTTTTTTGATAAAGAGAAACACCCGTCACAGTAGAGCAACCATAACAGATTGGCGCTCTACACTGTTCCTGCTACCATGATCGACTCTCCGAGATTTGAAATGGAGAGGGCGAAAAACAGTAGTTTCATGATGATTAAAGACGTCAGTGTAACTGTATTCCCCCCTAAGATGGTCTACAGAGGGATAACCACTCTTGCATTAATGTTTTACCCTCATTTCTGACATTTAATTCGTCACACACACCCTCAAACACAGTCGTTCTGTGCATTTTGTTGTTAGCCACTATATATAACTTCAATGCAGATATTGTCTTCCTTCGGTACATATTGTCATCGGCGACAGCTTTTTTTCTCTTTTGCATAGTGGAAGACAAAATTAACAGTCAAGCATCGGTACATTTTGTATTCGGCGACAATATCATGCACTTTCAACAATTGCAATTTTTTTGCGAATAAATTGCATTGGAAGAAAATTATTAGGGCAGTGGATCATAGAGAGAAAATCGTAGGGTGTTAGGAACACACGATTAGTGATATTTTGAGATGACAGTTTAAAAACGTGTGGAAAAAATCGAGAAACAGCGCACTTTTAATTTTTGTGCGCAATAAATATAGTTTTTTTAATGGGTGGCACTGTAGCTCTACAGTCTATCAAAATATTTTTTCAGAGAGCTACAGAGTTCTAAGCCAATACAAATTCAACCTTATATATACATGTATATGCCTACGAAAGAGTTGAGACTGAAAATTTCTCAGTTCAAGAAAAATTACTCTCAAAAATCAGACATATTCGAATTTGTACTCGACCTGTACTTTTTGGTAAAATACCTGCGTATACAATTACACTTATACATACATGCCTAAGAAAGTTAAAGAGCGGAGACTGAAAATTTCTCAAGTTCAGGAGAAACTACTCTCTCAACTACCAGATGTGTGTAAAACACTTATGCTAACCTCCCCCAAATAATTGGATGTTTTTTCTAAGTCCAAGGTGCATAAATATGTCCAGATTTGCTTGATCATACCCAAAACATAACTTGATCTAGATATTCATCGGATAAATCCATTTCAGAATGTGAAAACTTTGCCAAGAAAAGGAAGGAAAACTCAAATAATTGGAATTGTTGTTATCCCAAGGGGCATAACTTTATCAAAATGTTTGATTGTACCCCCTAAAACTTGACAGATATTCTTATGATTGATTTACTGATGCATGTTGTTTAATATCCCCCTCGATAATTTTTCACTCATATTGAGACGCCACCATTTGCCGGCGAAGAGCGACAAATTTTGTCTTTTACTTTGCACTCAGGGTCATTGAGCAGTGAGGGATCTTTTTAGTGCGAGCACCTACTGCGACACGTAAGATACGGCTTCGATCCTTACGTCGCGAGTTCGAATCCCACCGTGGCCACTGGTCCTTCGGATGTGACCG